TCCTACCCTACACCAAAAAAGAAAAGAATGAACATGAGCAGAGCTGCAGGTGACCCTGCAGCTTTTTTCACACTAGTGGATCACTCAAACAGCACCTAGTATCTTACATCCAAGGAAAGCCCATAAAATTTGAAGGAGAAAAGTGACAAGTGCCAGATCTGATGTATGTTGCACTGTTTTTTACTCAAATCTCAGAGACCAGAAAAAGTGGCAGTTTTTTCCTTTCTGTATACTTTCAAATTAAAACAGAAATAAAATTTGTGAAGTAAATTGAGATATGAACTCTTCAAGTGCTACATTACAGCTGACAAGAAGAAGCTTACACATTAGATTTCCCCATGCACTGTGCCAAGGAATTCAAACAGTGAAAGGTCTACTCTCACACAAATAAAATACGCATTGCTGGGATGGTGGTGGTGAGGACAGAAGAGAGTCTAAGAAATAAAAAATAAATAAAATACATGCAGTAACATTATAAATTCTGATCATTCCCCCACTTTTATTGCTGAGCCTGACATCATATGGTATGGGATATCCTTTTGGTCAGTTGGGGTCAGCTGTCCCACCTGTGAAACCTCCCAGCTTCTTGTGCACCCTCAGCGTACTCACTGGTGGGGCAGTGTGCGGAGCAGGAAAGGCCTTGACATTGTGTAAGCACTGCTCTGTAACAGCTATGATATTGGAATGTTAGCAACACTGTTTCATCACAAATTCAAAACATAGCCCCATACAAGCTACTATGAAGAAAATTAACTCTATCCCAGCCAAAACTAGTAAACAATTGCAATCGCAGGCTTAAATTAAACAAGAACCTGGAGCTTGGCTAGATCTGAGGCCCTGAAGGACACATAACCAGCAACAGTTGTACCAAATAAAACAGAGAAGTGCTGAGACAATTGCTACCCACAACACTTGTTTGTCTAGTGTTATTAGCAGGGACTAATACCCCTGCTTGACATGAGGAACTGTTTCTCAAGGTGCAGCCACTACAGGCTGTTATGTGAAGGACGCGTGGCAGAGGCTATGCAGGAACAACTTGGATTACTCAAAGCAACCATCTGACAGATTACTTTAACCAAGTACACAATTTCTTTTTAAAACAAAACACATATATACCTGGCTTTTCCCCTACAGTTACACGCTATTTAATCCTTTAAGGTCTGTCAAGTGAAAATGCCATCTAAATAATTTACAAAGATGAAGTCCAGATGACACCAAGGTGAGTGGGAGTGTTGATCTGCTGGAGGGTAGGAGGGCTCTGCAGAGGGATCTGCACAGGCTGGATCGATGGGCCGAGGCCAACTGTATGAGGTTTTTATTAAAAACGGTCCTGCACTTCAATCGCAACAACCCCTTGCAATGCTACAGGCTTGGGGAGGAGTGGCTGGAGAGCAGTGCGGTAGAAAAGGACCTGGGGGTGCTGGTTGACAGCCAGCTGAATATCAGCCAGCAGTGTGCCCAGGTGGCCAAGAAGGCCAACAGCGTCCTGGCCTGGATCAGAAATAGTGCAGCCAGCAGGAGTAGGGAAGTGATTGTGCCCCTGTACTTGGCACTGGTGAGGCCACACCTTGAATCCTGTGTTCAGTTTTGGGCCCCTCA